GGGTACAGGTGTATGAGAGATGGATGCAATGGCAACCTAGCGATAATGCATGGCTACAATATATCAAGTTCGAGCTTAGATGCCATGAGGTTGAACGGGCCAGAGCCATATATGAAAGGTCATCGTCATCACCAGAAGATCTAAAGCCTCGAGTATTTATACAATAGATACGTATCTCAAATCCAGACAGTGATGTCTTTTACACGGTTGGCCAAGTTCGAGGAAAGACATGGGAATAATGTAATTGCTGACGATCACCGTTGCTGCTGGTGCTGTCAGCACTGACTGTGAGATTGTCAGGTTCGGGCACGAGCTGGCTACCAGACATGTCATGACACTTTGAAAGATGATTTGGGACCGGAGGGGATCACTGAAGATCTGTAATGACGTCTCACCGACATGAAGTGACGACGTGGTGAGAACTCGAACTGCAGATACGTGAAGTGGGCAGAGTTCGAGCAACGAGCTGCGAGGGATGATCCCTCAGCGGCGGCGAAGGTCTATAAGCTTGGTATAGACACTTTACCTCCTGAAAGGACTGCTTATCTACGCGATAGATACGCCAAGTAGCATGCCACTCTACCATAGCTGCCATAGCTTATGTACTCAGGTACATGAAACAGAAAGGTACGCGAACGGATATCGAAAGGCTCCTTCTGGAGAAGTGTAGACTGAAATATGAGAAGCAACTCTCTGACTCTGATGGAGTTGATGTGGATATCTGGATCAACTATGTACGTTATCATCATCCTCTCCTTCTACAGATGCCTCACCACAGATCCTTCTCGAAGAAAATATTGGAGACTCCGCAGCCCAATGCCGAGAAGTATACGAGAGAGCCATCGCTGCAGCTCTACCACCCGAACAAGCGGCACCCAAGGGACGGAAAGATCTTTACAGGCGATATGTGTATAGACTGCAGAGTGTTTCATTGCCATTGAACTCTCATTTTTGGTAGGTATATATGGCTCTTCTATGCTAATTACGAGGAGTCCCTCATCCAATCCGGGGAATCGACACCTGATAGGGTTCGAGAAGTGTAAGCGACACACGGCAAAGCTACTGTTATGTGTTATTGACTACTAAGGGATTGTAATCCTCGTAGATATCACACAGCCCTCGGGCTCTTTCGCTCGCGGAAGATATACTTCAGCAAACTTTACAATGCTTACGCGGAGTTCGAGATCCGCCAGATGGATGTTGGACGGGCTAGGCTTGTGTAAGATCCCTCCGGTGTGCTTGGCGACTATTGTGGAATCACGGCAAGTGCCCCGTCTGCAGGTATGGTCGTGCAATCGGCGAATCCAAGAAGGCTTCTGTGTTCCGTTCCTACATTCAATTTGAGTTCAACCTCGGGCAAGTGGATCGAGCCCGCAGGATCTGTGCGAGGTAAAACATTACCACGCTACCGAACACTAACGATCGGCTTAATGCTTACTTTCGAAGAGACAGCTCTTCTATCGGACAGTTACGTATCGGCGCATTCGCTGGAAGCTGCTTCTTGGGTATGCTGGATGGATATGGAGATGAAGCTCTCTGAGGTCAATAGAGCTCGCAAACTTGGAGAGATGGCCATAAGGGTACTTGGCGTGCTTCACTTAACGCCCAACCTTCATGATGTAGCTCGCTGATGAGTCGGCATCTGACGAGAGCGACGAGATTATGAACGAGCCGGAGCTTATTTGGAAGAAATGTATCGACATAGAAATAGAGCAAGGAGAGATGGAGAATGCACGGTATGTTGCTTGTTGGCTTAATGAGTGTGGAGAGCATCAACGCTCTTTTCAGCGATTTATTCGAACGATTATTGGATCGCACCACCCACGTCAAGGTTTGGCGTTCGTATGCTGATTTCGAACTAAAGCACGGAGACCAGTCCTTCGAGAAGGCGAAGGAAGTGAGTTGTCTGTCTACTACGTCTGATAGGCTACGTTACATTCTCAAAGGTCCTCGAACGGGGTATCGCCGAGGCCAAGAAGGAAGAGGATTCTGAGTCCCGCAGGTTGCTGCTCGAGTATATGCTCAAGCTAGCGAAGGAAGCTAAATATGAGTGAGCCCGTATCAATACGATATTCGATCGTTCATGGGCGTTTCCTGATAGCGATATTGCAAACATCGAGAGTCGACAACCCAAGGCTGTGAAACACAAGGGGCGTGTTGACCAGAGTCACGGTGGTGGAGAGCCCGGTGCAGAAGATACAGTACGTTCATGAGGCGGAGTGGGTTCGTAGTGCATCTCATGTTCTTAGGTAATGGTTACTGTATGGGAGTTCCCGGATGATGAGAAGGCTGGGGATGCTGCGAAGAAACCCAAGATTAAATTGTTGGAGGCAGCCAAAATGTTCAAGAAGATGCGCCTGTCAGAGCAATCGGGTGGAAGCAGTCATCTGTAAGATTGACACACACGGTTGAAGAGTTTCCAACATACTTCATGTGTCTAGAGTTTAGCAGTTGAAAGAGTTAAAGATCCGTGTTCGGAGCAGTAAAAAACGATGTCTCACACACCTAACAAGCTTCAAATGTTAGGAGTCGTTCACCTTGGGGCAAATTTCTTTACATCATCTAGACTACATCCCAATGGGATGATCCAATATGGGATGTTTTTTTCTTTTCACCAAATGATTGTGAGATCTTCCGAAAACAGTGGTAATCTGCATCATCCAAACTGCAACCAAATCGAGTTATGCCTCATCATTGGTGAGAAACTGAGTTCATAGGCCAGAGTTTTCGTAGTGTTCTATAGGAAAGCAACTCTCCCCTCTATACTATGTGCTCATGTCATGAGCACCACTCCAGAACTCATAAGCCTTATGAAGTCTTAGATGGTCTCACCGGAAATAGATGTACCATAGATGTATTGGACCTGGTGGGCTCAGCCTTCCTGAGACAAGCTCTCAGAGTCAGGAAAAGCATTCCTCGGATGCTCCTGTATATCACTGCAAGTGTCATGTCTCTCTCACCTCCAGTAGCTGAGAGAATCTGTATTCAGCTTAAGGTCATCAAAATATACATCAACTAAGGCAATATCAGAGGTTCCAGTTGACAATGCCAAGAGATGCTGGAGTCATCACAATACATGCAAGATGGTAACACCCTTGAAAGGCTAGTCGCATGTAACGCAAGACAGTATCCGAGATTTATTGCACATCACTTTAGTCAACAACGCTGGCACATGTTGCATTATTTCATGCACCAATCTGCAATGAATTCCTCGCGATCATACCGGGAAGTACCACATTGAAGGAGCATACTCGTTAACCAACAGTTTCCGAGTGGAGCGCGTCTCTGATTGCGGATATAGTGGCGCGTTTGGCTCTTTGGGCTCTTTCTAGCTCTCCCAGACCATCCCTTGTACATCTATGCACGATACAGCAGGGAGAGATCTCTGCAAGACTGTTCATAGTACCCTGCTCCCGTGCTCGTGACTTCGCGATGACCACTTCGCGATACATATTTGCTCAGAGACTTCCGTACATTCATGACTCGCTGTTTTATACTACTTCTGGTATCTAGGAGACGTTTATGAGTCCACAACAACATTTCACAGTGGATCTCGAGAACCCGCTCAACCTACCAGTGTCCCTCGATACCGATTTCACGTCGCTGAAGGTAACATGCTGCTTGGCCTTACTCTGTGTAGGACCAGAAGGTGAATGTGCGTCCACCCTCAAGGCTGTGGAATCGTTCAGAAGCTTGGAAGCTCTAGCAGGGGAAGATGATGGGCGAAGAGTCCCCCATGGAATTGTAGGAACCTACATGGTGTACACATATGCATCTATCTTATGAAGCTGCTGCCGCTGCTCCTCCACGTACGCAGGGATCGTCCAACGTTCCGAAGTGATCACTTGACGCCACATGTTCAGCTCGAGGAGTCGGCAGTCGGCCCTGGGAGAATCATGTGTGGGGATTGTGTAAGATTGTTTCGAATGTGGTACGTACGTCAAGGGATGCCGCACTCAGGGAGACCTCGCCCTGACGGACGAAGTAAGGGTCATCCAACTCACGCTGACGACCTGTCGTGGGTATCCATAGTCGAGGTCTGCTGAGTTGTACATCAGTGATACACCATCCGTTCCCACCGGAAATCGATGTCGAAAGCCACTCGTCCGCGGACATTTGCCCTCAATGGTCTATCTATCCTTACGGGTTCGGCTGATAAGGTCGCTTCTCTTAGATGGGCATAGGATAAGAACACGAAGCCCTGATGCAACTTGTATCATCAAACACGGTGTCCACCACTTACCAACGGGATATGCCTCCCTGAAGTTGGTAGGGGAGTTTCTGGAATTTCGGCCAATTTCCCTAGTGCAAGTTGAAGCCTTGCGTTCAACATTGCCAGTCTCCGTCTGTTCATCACACTGACCCCCTGAGATCCAATACAAGTTGGCCAGTAGCGTATATGGTGAGTCAGTGCCGATACCATGGTATCCTCCATATTTCCATCTGTGTGCATACCATTTGAGTGCTCCTCCATATTAGATTTACGCTTAGTCCGAGTCGGCTGCGAGGAAATTATCTAGCGTATACTGTGAAGCGAATTACTTCTGCTGTCAAGACTTCCACTCTCTTCTCTGGCGCAACCTTCGTGTACTGCTCATTTAGAGGGAGTTCATGATGGACCTCGACGCTACACACAATACAAGTCCTCACCCATGAAAAGCGCCTTCCAACCCACTCGGTGCATAGCTCCTGGAGAGCAGCATGATCAGCTATGAGGTCGGCCTGATCAATAGGGCCATCGACTGCGTAAAGCTCCACTACGAGCCAACCATCCTGGTCGATAGAGCGCGTATCGAATCTATAACGTAAGTGTCGGGTATATGAATGAACATCACACCACCTGAATGATTCATGCCATGATGCGATACCGCTCGAGCTGTGGTGGGGCTGCTGGGAGTTGGCTGCTCCATCGGTTTCGAGGCAGCAACTTGTGATGGCTATGCTTATTCCATCAGCACGACAAGGACAGAATAGTATGCATGCATATCTGTTGTAGTAGAACGCTTCACAAGAGGACTTCTCCATGATCATCATACACGTTGAGACGGTCACTAGGCATCCCTTCGACAAACAGGTCACACGCCTTGAGGATAGTCACCATGAAGTGACCATATGCATTAGGTATCTGCTCAGTTGCTTCATCATCCATCCATGCCTACCCGTATGAACCACGCTATCTGCGTCGCCCTCTTCGCGGAAGCGGCCAGGTGATTTAAGACTCTTGCTAAGACCACCCCCCGTTACCAATTCTCCAGACCTGACGATTCGGACATGTCACAGCGACATACTCATGTGCCATGAATTGGACCTGCAGCGAATGGCATCTACGATGGCCTCAATAACGATATCATGATTAGACGATTTAGCGATGGCCAGAGCATTATGTCCACTATAGGCCTCGACGTCGATATCAGCTCGCCGATCAAGGAGCATCTAAAGAGACTATTGTTATTGAAAACCTCGATGCTGCTGTTGGGCTACTTGGACACAGTCGATATATCCTTTACAAGCTGCATGCATTAAAGGCGTCCATCCCTGCTTATCTCGCTGGTTCACTACTGCATCTAGTAACAAATAAAGGGAAGAATGGAATAGATAAGGGCAATCGATCGATATGCACCCTTACGAGCATTTAGGGAGGGGTCATGGTCCCCGCGGCCAGTGAGTGCCTCTCCCAAATCTAAGATAGATGCCACGCACAATACTTCACCAGCATCACAGGCGTAATGTAGGGGCGCCCACCCATCACTGTCCTAAGGCTCAACTACACCTCAATACAAGCCTGTAGTCGAGTATGTATTACAGTAGCTAATATATTGGCGCCTGCCAAAGCCAATGGTGGTATGAGGGGCCAAAAGCCTTCCATACATGCAATCATGAGGGCGGTAACACCTGTACTGTCGTGTGCGTTCACCTATCATGGGGTACTTGAATAGTGAAACGGATGGATACCTTGGCCTGCCCGAAGGCCACGTTCCTATTGTTCGCAGATGCGTTTAGGAGTATCATACGTACCAAGGCTGTACTACCACTGTTGCAGGCGTGCATGAGGAGTGTCTTGCCTAAGAGAGCTTCTCCTCCTCTATGTATAAGGGCAGTTCCCTTTCAGGTTACTTACCTCGAGAGTCGACATGGTCAGCATTGGCTGGTAGTAGATGACGTTGAGGTGAGAGTAGAGCCAGGACACATGCTATATGCCCATCATGAGCGGCACATTGAAGCGGACTCTCACCTGGCTCACAGGGGAGTTACTCCAAATTCACAGGCAAGGGAAGCTCACCCATGCCATTCTGTATGTCCAGGTCATCAACATGTTTTGCAAGACAATTTAAGATTTCCATATTCCCACAGATAGCAGCCACATGGAGTGGAGTGTTGCCTAAGCAGTCTGTGAGTAATACCTACTGCAGCATAGCAAATAGCACGAACAATGTTGATGAGACTATCCCACTGTGTCAGGGTCCATGCTACGTAACTTTTCAACTTCCCCCAACTTGCCCATCTCGACAGCATGATGGAGAGCAACATATCCTCTAGGGTCCTGCCACCTGCCTCAAAGAAACATCAACATCATCATTGCGGTGTGACACTTATCCGCTCGATCTACCGAGTGACTGATCTTAGACCATCCTCGGAGAGCCGCTTCAAGACTGGTAGAAGTGCTTCTAGCAAGTTACTCCTCACTGCATATATGAGAACGTTCCATCCTCTCTCGTCTAGTGCATCCAGACTCGGGTTATAAAGCAAAACCTGTCTCCTGTGATAGCTATGATAACGACGAGGAGGAAGGGGATCATCATCATTCAATAGGCTCCCCACCTGGTTGAATAGTGCGCTCGCTTTCTGATCCATGGCAATCATGAGCGGAGTTTTACCAGAGGCATCGAATGCATTAACATCTGCTCCAAACGATAGAAGGATCTCAGCCTGCAATCAGCCGTTATAGCGATACCGCAAGGCAGATGTCCGATGTTACCACTGTAGAATTCCTAGTCTCGAGCGCTAAATGCAAGGGGGACTTGAACGTGATATCGCTTGTATTGACATCGGCTTTACCGTTCAACAGGAGCTCTACAACCTAGAGCTACAGGTATACAGTTATTACTTGTATCCATCCACGCACATCCTCGACATAGACCCTACTCACTTCAAGATGCTCCTTCAAGATAGCATGCATGAGGGGAGTCCTCCCCTGTCGGTCCATCAAGTCTATTTGTGCACCCTCATAAAGTAATCTCGATGCGATATGCCTATTACTGAGTGCATGCTTATCCTCTCTTACAATCACATAGTCTTACTCATGTCCATAGGTAGCTGCGTAAGACAGTGCCGTTCTGCCTTTTTTGTCGACCTTATCGATGAAATCCTTCTTTGATATCTTACACCTGATGAGCAGCGGCGGCTACCCTTTGATATCTCATGTTTTGGTCAATAAGCTACCGGCCACGGCCGAATCTCCCTAATGCGATAAGTCTGTCCACCACGATTAGTTCTATCCTATTTGGGTAATATACCCAAAGCTCTCGAGCTTGCTGCTCTGTTGACAGGTCTGCCATGTCGGCAAGCAGCTCGTTGGGCTGCTGTGACTAAAAGGACAGTAAGGCCGGTAGGAGGCAAGGAACAGGTCCCATCACCTCGTCTGTGTCCGGTTCAGGATTCGATTGAGGATATGAGCGGCGTGATGATGCAGCAGCCTCCTGGAAGTGTACCCTCTGTTTCTCCCTTTCCTAAGGCGAGAGTAGTGCCAACTCCAAGGCATCGAATCGGCCATACCGCCAGTTCACGAAGTTGCTGCTGCTGCTTGGTTTGGCCCCGATCCCCGCCGCTATCATCCTCCTCTTCTCCTCTAATTCCCACGCCATTCTCCCCACCGAGCATAATCCTCTCCCGTATCTCCTTGATCTACATACGTCAGAGTGCTTGTATGCTGGTCGTGCTGACGAGATGCGGGAGGATGCACCTTGCACATGACTGCTTTGGTCCATCGTCCTCGCCACTTCTCAGACATCTGAGCTCTCGGATCGGGGTCTGCATCCATGACCTAGACAGAGCTAACGCGGCTGATGTCGCGTTATCTCTGGACAAAAGCGAGCCTACCTTTTGTGAACCTCTCTTCATAGAAACGAGCATAAGGTGTCTCGCATACTCACGCTGGCGTACCTCGATCGACTAACTACATTGCAACGAGCTCATGAGCGCCGCCTCACCTTCCTACGCTTCACTCGATCCTTTCGGCTGACGAAATCTGTTATATATAGTTTGGGACTGGATGCAGCAAAATGTAGAACTCCACACCCGTAGAGGTCCTCACCTAATTTCGATAGTGAAGGGAGTAGGAAGAAAGAGCACATTACAGTTAATGCTGGCACCTGCCTTCAACAACAATTCGATGACTCGAACATGACCATGGAATACTGCCGCTAAGAGAGGAGTCCACCCGAATTCATTCGCCAGATCCATCTGACAATGCCAAGTATGTAGAGTGGATTGCTTGTACGCGACATATCGAACTTATGACCTAGTGTTGACCTCACAAGGACTCTAGCGAGTAGTACAGAAATAAAAGGGAAACATCCACTAGAGAAGAATCGTGTCAGTTCGAATCCTACAGAGGCATGATGTCGGTGATGAGGGTTCTAACTACTCTATCATGACCGTCTCGCTGCTCGGTATAGTCCAGTACAACCTTGACTATCGGGTT